ATATAAGTCTAGTTCGAAGTAAATAGGCATGTGATCAGAAAACTCGTTCATAGGTAGCACTATAAAGTCATTTATTAATCTATATTCGATCTGGGGTACGAGTAGATAGTCATTTACACTCTTCCTTTGGCCGTACAGAACGTAAAATTACCATCTTTGTCATTACAAAGTCTGCCATTGGCTACGACTAAAACCGTGTTAAAACACATTTGTATCAGTTTACGGCAAAACGCATAAACGGTTTTGTCCATTGAACGTCTTACTCTATCAGAAATAATAGGGTTAACAACGTGCTCAACACGTTCAACATATTTATCTAGATCATCATTGAGTAAAAAATCACTTAATTCACCTATGCGGCTATTTAAATCTCCACATACCATAACAATACCTTTATCACTATAGTTATTTACAATACTATCAATAATGTCGTGAAAATCTATATCACATAATTGGTAATAATTAGATCCTTCATGTGGTACATAAGAAAAACAAATAAAAATATCTTTATCAGTAGCATAGAAATTATGATCAAGTTTTAACAGAATAATACCATCATTTAATTCTTTTTCAACAATTATACCGTTACACAAAAAACTTTTACAAAATACAGCAATACCTCCTTCATTTCTAGTACCAATATTTTTATTACGAAATACACAAGAAATTCTTTCAAAACCATCTATAGCCAGGTCCCCCTGAGAAATAAAATATTGTAATCATTAATTAAGTTCAAAAAGTCATTATCTTTGTAGACCGACGTCAATCCATGAACATTTCAACATAAACATTATAATTTACAAAATTGTTCTCTGGGTTTGTCCTATGGCAAATATTCCTTCCCATTTACAAATATACGGTCTTTCACAAAGTAAGCCTTGATGTCCCGCTCTCGTAGGTTCTTTAGGATCGGCAGCTTTTCTTTTCTTCGTTTCTGAATATCCAAGGGTAATTGTTCTGAAATACCGAAACCTGTTTCTTTTAAATTTTTTGCGCTTTTTTTCACCAAATCCCGGCTTTCAAAATTTGAAAACTTAACTAGTATCGGACGAGTCTTCTCACCATGCTTTCCTAGAAGATAGGCCTCAGCAATAGATAACTTTGTAGACACATTTTCAATTTTCAGACTTTCGTAACAAAATTTGTTTATAATTTGGGTATGGTGTTCACCTTCCGATTCCGGGATATTGTAAAATATCAGGTTATTCCGCATGGACCTCATTTGGATGTCTATTTACTCGGACTTCAGTTTTGTATTTTCTTTCCGAATGTCATCTAAAGTTTCTCCTAATCTATCGACAGAATGTGTTCCCTCTGATTTAATATGCTTCGAAATATCATCAAGTTCGGTTTTAAATTTAGAAAAAACAACTTTCTGGGTATCAAAATCGTTGCTTATTAGCTGGGAGCTTCTTTCTACCTGGTTCATTCGATCGTCTATCGATTTGGCATTTTGTTCCAGTTTAATAACTTTAGAATTTATAGACGTAACTAACGAGTCAATTTGATCGAGCTTGCACAATTTAATTTCAAAGTTATCCATTTTTCGGAACAGTTCGTCAACCCAACCTGGCCTTTGATCTGGAATTTGTTGGGCGAGAGGTGATGTGTGATGTACTTGGTGTATTGGAAACGACATCATACCAGGGTTAGGTGTAGAGCAAAGGTGTTGACTCTGGTTCTGCATTTGGAACATCGGACTGGGGTTTTGTGAATACATTAAATTTGTATCGTTAACATAACGTGGTTGATTAAAGCTAGACATTAAATTCACATTGTCTACTGTAGAAGAAGTTTGATTGTTTACATTTCGAAAGTCACCTGAACCATTCAAGTGTACACTTTTGTGTTCACCTTTGTTTACGTTTGACGACTTGTTTTTATTCCTTTGTTTACTTTTCTTTTTGGACGGTTTTTTCTCAACTGATTCATCAAAAACAGTATTATCACTTGTGTTGCTATAACTGTTACTGTTATTTGTTCTTTTGATACCTCTGCGAGGCATATTACCATAACATTTTCACATTTTCTTTCTCTCATGAAAAACACTACCGTCCTCAATTTGTCACATGATATTTATCTATTTTAGACTATAATTATGCTTAATTACCATATATAATGATGCATAAATTAAACATCTTAAAATTTTAAAGCTTTTTTTTTTTTTTTTTCATTAACAATTATGATCATTTCAATAGCATAGTCTAAAATGTTAAAGCTTACATAAACCAATAGTCTTTTAAAATATAAGTGTCAAGTATAATTAAAATGACTTCTCAAGTAAATTCATCATACCTACATTACCATCCTATATCAAATAAAACTGTTTACACAGAGATATGTCTTGCCTGTCAGCATTAAATTCAGAAAAGACAAAATTGAAAACAACACGTTTAATAATTTCATGCGTCCGAAGCGCTGTAAGTAATTCCTATCAAACTAAGGGAAGAGAAAACTTAACATAGAAAATTGGTAATCAATTGAAAGTCACTGACCATGACCTACTAGGACAGGGAGTGGAAATATTTGTCAAACTGATATGTACTGATAGTAATGCAACTTTGCTTAAATATCAATGATCTATCACAAGTAGTTCCTATCAAGCTGACTTAAGCAGAAATCTTCACATTGAAAATTCGAATTCATCCAAAGTCACTGGGCTATGACCTAGGGGGCAGGGCCTCAAATAGTTGTCAAACAAATATGAGGGTCTGGATGGGGTCCTTCATTCGCCCATTATTCTCTATTCTTTATATTTCAGCACCTTATTATTCTCTTTTCTTTATTTTTTGGGTTTTTTTTTCTATTTTTTGCCCATTATTCTCTTATCTGTAAACCCCATCCACAACCTCTGATATGTACTGATAGTAATGCAACTTTATGGAAAAAATATATTGATCTGTCACAAGTAGTTCCTATCAAACTAACTTAAGCAGAAACCTTAACATTGAAAATTGCTAATTGATTCAAAGTTATTGGACCATGACCTAGGGCACAGGACCTCAAAATAGTTGTCAAAATAATATGTACTGATAGTAATGCAACTTCATACAAAATATCATTGATATATCACAAGTAGTTCTCATCAAACTAAGTGAAGCAGAAAACTTAACAATTGTTGACGCCGTCGCCGCCAGAAAAACATACCTATGTTTTGCCTAGTCACAGGCGAGACAACAAAAGGTGTGGACACACTAAAATGTCTCACCTACTGTACAATAGGTCAATAATTTTACAAATCAACTAAAACTTACTAGGTGAAATGGCACCTTGCATTATGTATTTCTTTTCATGAATTCAAGTTCATAATGTTATTGACTTATGAAGAACTGTTTCATGCTCAACAGTATCAATACAATGTAGCTGCCTCATGACAAATGCATGACAAACACTTCATACAAGAAAGTCATATAAAATGTAATATATGTACCGGTAATGCCTGTTTTACACACCTACTAAGGACCAACCTTATCTAATAATTTAACTCAACTTATAAAACTACCCTTCAATGCTTGATTAGGACCACACATAGTAAGGGCTTACTGTTTACCTTAACAGTAATTTGGATCAATTTACTGAAGTTGAGGTATAGGCCATATAAACATTAACATTGTATTCCATTGGACTAAGTACTGATAACAGACCTGTCCTGAAAACACAAAATAGAGAATCAACTTGACCAATTGTAAAAATGTAGGATAACAAGCATTCTGTGAGTATTGCATGGCAATACATAGTCCCCTATCGGTTACAAATTCATTGTAATGGAACGAAATTCTAACTTGATCTATAACTTGTCATGGTGTAAACTACATAAAAATAGCAAGTCAAAATCTTCAAGCATGACGTAAAAAACTGTTGAAAACTGATTATTTAAGTGAATTTTCTATGTCTAAAGACCATAACTCTGCACAAAATTATCGGACTGGAACAAAATTCCAACTTGATCTGTAACTTGTCATGATAAAAACTATATACTAATTATCAAATCAATATTTTCAAGAATGACAAACAAACCTACCACTAAATTCTTCAAACAATTTACCAAATAAAAGGAAAAATGTCATTTTGTCTTTTAAATCTTTTAAAAAATGAGTTATTTCCCTTTGAACAGAAATCTACTAATTAATAAGTATTTCATCAAAAATTTAATTCTAGGGAAAGGGCTTTAACTGAACAAAGAGAAAAGCTAAAATCGTGAAAATTGAACTTGACCTGTAATTTGTCATGATAAATCAATAAACCAAATATCAAATCAATATCTTCAAGCATGAGGAAGAAATGTCTGGAAAACTGATTTGCCGGACAGACAGACAGACAGACAGACAGACAGACAGACAGACAGACAGACAGACAGACAAACAGACAAACAGAAAGACAGACGGACGGAGTGCAAACCTAAAGTCCCCTTCGAATTCGTCGGTAGGGGACTAATAATTAGATGATATTCACCAGCCTTTTAAAGAAGTAATGTAACAGAAATGGCCAAGTCCTTCCTTATGGTATGGGATAGCACAATAATAAATGTAGTCGAAAATTAAAATAGCAGTTGATCAACTTTGTGTCCTGTATCAGAATCTTATTAGTTTGGTTGAATTAAGTCAAGCAGTTTACAAGGAGTTGCTGGTTAACAAAAAAAGACCCAGACAACAGAATTGATTTGTATGTGTTACCACAACACTATCATATCATATATTGAAATATTTTTTTTTTAACCTACATGTGAGTGAAAGAGACCAACAGGAAAGCAAAACTAACATCTTGCTTCCTGCATCTAATATCACATGCAAGACAAAAAAAATATAAAAAACAAACAACAAATATATAATCATAGCATTGACCCTCATTTCAAACAGAAACAAATAAAATACGATAAAAATCTGTGTAATGTCATTATAATTCTAGACTTTTGTCATGGATATATATTGTTAGTAATGATCAGTGATAGAACAAAACATACGATGCTACAGATATGTGTTTCCAACTGACACAAAGTTTACCCGTAAGAAAGCTTCTACTAAAACATGACCCATTGTTCCTTTAGTGGGAGAATCCTGTTACAACAATGACAAAACATAGAAATAATATGTAAAATCTATAAAATATCTCAATAATGAAAACAACAATTTCTATAAACTGTCCTAAACACAAACTTACCGTCCTAAACACAAACTTACCGTCCTAAACACAAACTTACCGTCCTAAACACAAACTTACCGTCCTAAACACAAACTTACCGTCCTAAACACAAACTTACCGTCCTAAACAACTATAATGAACAGATAATTGGCAAACATACATTTTATTGAAGCTTAATTCCTGACACACAACAACTAAACTATTCAGTACAGCAAATATGAGGCTGATTTGATGAATTTCAATTTGATGATGATGATGAATGGCTGTTTAATGTTCAGTTGCAAATTAAATGTATATTCAGGACAAGGACATGTTAATATGTGATATGAATTTTAACCCTGCTTTGTACTAAGACTTTTTCATGGATTTTTCACATGCTGGTCAAACCAAAGACCTCCCCTACTAAATGTGATGCATGCTATCATGAGACCATCAAGGCCATCAGTTTACATTTATATCAAGTATGTCTGTTCAGACAATTTGTCAAAATGATGCTTTAACTAATGAGACAATAATGATATAATAAAAGTTGTAGAGTTTCAAATATTTAAATGTGTTGTACCAGTTTGTCATGTACTGTTATTAGACCAAACTCAAATATATATTTATTTTGTAAACAGAGGGATAAAGGACCTTTTGCGAGTGTATCATGTGTATACCGATGATAAGGAAATATGAATGCACAAGAAAATATTAACATAAAATAAACATACTTTACGTGTAATGGCTTGGGCTGTATCTTGTTGCTGGTTACTAAACACACCTTCCAACTGTAAAATTGTTAATTGGATAAAAACACAGGTAAACAATTAATAAAAGAAAAATATAGGTCAAAATGAGGAAATGAAAAACAAATAATAAACAAAAGAGGGAGATAACCCAATTACTAATGCAAACTTTGTCAGTTTAATTATTCAAAATGAAACTTGCTGTACCAGTCTGAAAACCATATATATAGTTAACTAAGATATTGTCTAATTATACATTGGAGCCCTCAACATTATGGCAAGAATAAATTATCTATAATATTTGTATTAGCTATTTGTGGTCGACATTTTTTTTTAAATGTCCTAGTTTTTTTTTATTAGGATTAAACTGTTTGGAAAAGTTTCTAGAATTGTTTATAGAAAAGTATTCAGTCTACACAATCAAAAACATCAATAAAAGTTATTATGTCAGCCATGGTATGATGGCCTCTTCATAACACCTTCCTGGCATTCACTACACATTTACTTTGTAGTTTCGTATCAAGTATTAACTTTATCTTTTATAACTTGTATAATTTCTGCCAAATCTTTTTTATGTTGAAATCTTCTGCGGTCTTTTTTCATTTTGATTTTTTTTCCTGTCTTTTTTATTTAATTTTGAACTTTTGTGCTTTGTGGTTTTTTTTCAACAACAACATATCTGTTAAATCTTTTTTCAACTGGGGACATATATCTGCTGAATATTTTTTCCATGCGACTTGTTCAGATCTCTGATTTTTTTTTATTCTGAACTTTGCTGCTGAATCATAATTTTACAGTGACCATAAATTTTGAATATTATTTGTCATGACCATAATGTGTTCATGTGACACCAGTTGGATTGGAATATTTGACAACTATCTTACATTACTAACAATTTTATTCTATTTTTAACTATTCGTAATAGCTATTCTTGCTATACCACTCCACTAGGACAGTAATATAATTCAATATTTACCCACTTAAATGTCAAAAACATTTCTTTAATTGGAATTAATTAAGTTAAAGGTGCAAAATCTACCCTGAATGTAAGTTGTAAAGCCAATGGAATTGCACTTTGTAAAGAATAAATTCTTCTTAACCCTTTTCATAATGTGTATATTTTATTCATAAATTTAATTAACAAACGTTTACAGTAAATTATGCCAAGAACAGACTGTGAGTTGCCCTTTTTTTTAATAAAGCCTGTTTCCTAATGGTACATCATCAAGTTTAGGAATCAATACTAATGTCTACAAAATAACAGAATCAAATTAAGTTACACAAAACTGCCATCAAATTCATGTAACAATCCTATTTATAATTTACTTCCTGGTATATAAATATTGTTAATAACAACAACGACCATGATTTCTGGGTAATTATATAAGGAGTGAGGTCCAGATTGCAGACAGAGACTCAGTGCAGTGACATAAACAACATTAACATACAGGGAAATTGTTATGCATTTGTGTGTTTGTGTGTGTACTTTTACAGTGTTAACCTGACGAATTCCCCACTACCACAACTTCATTGACCAAATGTTACAGTACTCTCCCCTTCATGTCACCAAAGTTAACATTCCTTTTTTTCTTTCTTTCTAAAATGTTTACATTTGTCTCTTTTTTCTTCTTTCTAAAATATTTACACTTGTCTATCTACAAATGACTGATATATGCCCATTTTGACTGGACACTGATACAGCTGTGTCCCCCCAAAAATATAGATTACTGCTTGTGTGTCAATCACTGACTTAGCAGTAATGAAAACAGGGTAAGATTTTAAGATGATTCAGGATCTTTAATGCTTACTTTTGTATTACTTCTATTTTGGTAAGGAATTAAAAAGACAAAATATTGTGATTTGTTAGTTTTCTTTAGCTGTGTTTTTTGACAAGAAAAGGTGGTGTAGATGGTAACGTTTGGCTTTTAAAGTGCTAACTACTACTACTACTATATGTACAACAGGTATCAACATACACAGAATATTGCTGCTTTGATCAACCATTGATACTATGATAGAATTACACAGTAGCTACTACAGTACACTAAATCTTGCTGAATTAAATAAATAAATTTTTCAACACGATCAGGTGTATGCAGATTTACATGTATAAAGCTTTTAAAACATTGTAATTCTTCATAATATAAAACAAATCATTATATAAATATTTAGTTAAAAAATAATTGTCACAAAACAAGGCAAATACTACCAAAGACAAAGTACTCTATGCAATAATTACTAAAAATATTAAATCAGTGTAAATAACTGCGCATTTTTCTGACTAAACGCATGAAAAACATGCATGCACCTCTAACATGCTTCTGTCTATAACATGCATGTAACATATCTCAATAATTAAATCTTGTTTCACCTGTTAACCTGTATGGATAAAATCCATTGATTTCTTGCATGCTAGTCAAACCCATTTTAGCCTAATATCTAAGCAATATTACAAGCAATGATCTCACAGAAACATTACTAAGCACTTAAAATTCAGATCCGAAATCCTTCAACTTAGAACATAAACAGAATCAAAACTTGCAGAACAGCAGTATGACATTCATAACAGATTTTTAAAATGTATATAACATATCATCCAGACCTTGATGTATACTGAGTGTATCCAGGATAAAAACAACATGTTTATCAACTGAATAGATTTTTTTTTTTACTTATTTTTCCTTTTTCCTTATTTTCTTAAGAAATGCTCTATATAATATGTGTATTTTTCTGATATTAACTTCTAGATGATATGTACATGAGAAAGTAAAACAAGAATTTAATTCTGTAGATTTTCTTTTTCCTATGAGGTGTGAAAACTTTTGTCTCAATTTTTTATCTCAAGACATTAAGAAAAGCTTCTGATTAATATATGAATCTGATCATTTTTTTCTTTATCAGCTTAAAACAGTATTCCTATTATCATGACAATTTGTTCTGTCCTGTATTTCAAACCAATATTTTGTGTTTTCATAATATTAAAGACCATCTACCAGTATGGACTCATGCACATGGTTAGCAGTATAGGATAGCATGCAGGCAATGCGGACACAAAAATGATGCAAATGAGAATGGCAGCAGAAAGGCTTTATAAGAAGGTCAAACATTTAGGAAATACAGCTATTTTTTTTCTTACAATATTTTGTATCTTTAATTCCATATTTTTTTTCCTTATTTTATTGTTAGAACTTATTTCTCGTTTTCAGACAATTTCAATTGAATATTTTTCAAATGGTGTAGAAATAAATAAGATATTTTATTTTCATCATGTTCATTTATCCAGTTTCATAAATAATTGAGTACTTCTTAAGCCTTTCGGGATATAATTTGCCTTTGCATAGGATTGGCAAATACATCTAAAATTGCCTGCAATTTGGCACGTGGTCGAGGAAAAAAATTACGTTCCTGTGGGGGCAGAGGGAAGAATGATTCCAACTGAAAATCAACAAGATCAAAATATGCGTGAAATAAACAAAAAAATTGATTACAAGCAAATAAATAAAATTATTACGATGATGAAAAACAATGGCATAGTGTGAACGTGTCTTAATTAAAATCATGCATGGTATTTGAAATCGTGGGAGGTTAAAGGTCAGTTACTAAATAACCCTGTTGTTGTAACCTATACCTAAATACTATCAGTAGCATGGATTCTTCTGTTTTCTATGTCTATTTTCAAGATCTGTGGTTGAAGAAAATAAGGGAAATTATCCCTTTATAATGATTAACATCTTTGTCATACATAATTTATGACATATCTTTGTTTCTGGTTTTATACAATACATGTATTATCTACTGCTGATATTGTTAAGAAGAACGACAAAGTAACAAGACTACAATATATCTTGTGATTTATGTTTTTTTGTAAACATGTGTACAAAATTGATTTCTACATTGTTCTAAGGCACAGAAATAATCAGCATGTATTCATTAGGATTGATTAATTCTATACAGTGATCTTGCTTTTAATATCTGAGCATTCTATGGTATAGTACTGAAATTATCATTGTTGTGTTTGAGTTTTTGTTGTTCTTTATACTGCTTATACTTTTCTGGTTTTTATTGCACATGAATTGTGTTTTATGTACCTTGTTTAACCCTTTGTGTGTATGGGTATTGTTCATTGTTGAAAGCTGTGAAAACTTTTTGGTCTCTGGTGGAGATTTGACTCATTGGCAATCATACCACATCTTCTTATTTCTAGATTGAAAATTCATAAAACGAATGGAAAACAACTACCATTTTCCTGACTTGGTACAGGCATTTCCTTATGTAGAAAATGGTGGATTAATCCTGGTTTTCTAGCTAGCTGAACCTCTCACTTGTATGAGTTTTTGTTATTTTACGTTTTGTCACACAGTTTTTAAAAAGGAAAATTAAAAAAACACGATCTCCAAAGAAAATTCAAAATGGAAAGTCCTTTATCAAATGACAAAATCTAAAGCTCAAACATAACAAATAAATGGAAAACAACTGTCATATTTTACTGGGTACAGGCATTTCCTTATGTTGAAAATGGTGGATTAAACGTGTTTTATAGCTAGCTAAACTTCTCATTTGTATGATAGTCGCAGTCAATATTGTGTGATAATCTTAATCACTATAAAAAAAACACACTAATATGTCAACATCGAAAAACAAAAAGTCATATAGACTAAGCACAAAAGCAAAAACGAAAGACAAGAATACAAAAAAAGATCACAGCACAACAAATGCAACACATTGGCGGGAAGCATAATTACCGAGCTACGCCAAAAGGATATTAAAAAAATGGACAAATGTTAACAGTTCATTTATAATTATGACCATATCAATGACAATTCATGTCAATATTTCAAATATTAGTCAGGTTTTAATGACCTTGACAAAGGAGGAGGCTATGAGTTAACAGAAACGGTATAAGTTGGGTTTTTATTATTTCGTGTGCCTGCATCAAATATTTACTGTGGGGAAATGAAAACCTCTTTAGGTACATTAGTGAATGCTAATTGAGTCACATTCTATAAATAAAGCTATTATTATCTATACTATTAAACGAGAAGACCTCATTTTGTGTTTCGCTTCTCTTCCTTCCCCAATAAATTAATCATCATGCCTCTGTGTCCTATAGGTACCATGCATAGTCGCATTTGTCATCCATTCTTATGATTATTCAGTTTGGGTTGTTTTGGTAGAAAAACGAAGAAAAAGGCGTCCGGATATTGTTTGCGTCATCAGACCGACTTTTAAGTCATACCCGAGACTTCCGGATTTTTAACTTTAAAAGAGGGGTAAAGGTTTCGTGCAACGTGTTTTGCCACTTTTTATTTCACGTGCAGCCGTGAAAAGGGTTCGTTATTCACCGTGTTTCTTGAAATCGATAAAGAGATCAATATGCAAGAAATTTTTAATTGTTCGCTCATTGTGAAATGGCAATTTTATTTCGCGTTCTCAGTCCGTGCAGATACCCCCCTTTACTCCCCACTTTAAACATAATTTTCATAATTACGCGGGGACATGACAATTATTTTCGCGTTATTCTGCATGTATACTATGTCTATAATCCTAAAATAGATAGAGACTCTCTATATAATATAGCAGTGATCGCCGTGGAGAAGAAACTTGGAAATCACGGATAGTTAATAGAAAACACACTTTATTTATATTATATGTATGTTCATAGTCATGATACAGAAACGCGAAAATCATGGAATTTAACAGAGAGCAAAAAAATAACGGACTCTGGAAAAAGGGAGAGGGCTTAAAATAATTGTCCTGTCTCCAAGTGCCTATGACTCAGTTTGATACCTTTTCTGAAATTCCCCAGACATAAAATCTTTTACAACAGTTTACATACTTTCAACCATGCTCTAAATACCCGCGATTTCGCGGGTGTGTTCTAGTTATTATTATAAGAGCTAACGTTCAACAGCGACCAACTTCAGTTATACAAGATCAAGATAAAGAAAAGGAATACACAGGTTGTTTACTTGTCAGATTATAGTATTAGAAACCTTGAGAATTTGCTGGCTTAAGATAAACATACATAATGAGTTTAATAGTTCTGTAATTGATAGTCTATGATGATCGGTCATTTATTTCCGTTAGTATAGTGAGTGTCAATTAAAACGCAACAACAAATGGAACATTATTTTGTCTAAAGATTGAAACCATTTATCTCCCATGAAATATATCAGTAGCTATGCAATTAACAGGATTTAAAGATATTTATAATAAATAATTATTTAGGGAAGAATATATTATACTATACAGACTAGATGGTCTCGTGGTTAGCGTGCTTGTCTGAGTTCAGAATGTCGTAAGTTCGAACCTTTTCCAGCTAGATCAAACAAAAGACTTTGAAATAGGTATCCGGTCAACATGTCGGACTAGCACAAAGCATCGTTTATTCATCATTCATTCACATGTTCACATCATGAATATGCATATATATTTGCTTTTATACGTTAAGCAGAATTCATTCACTCACTCACTAAATTAATATGATAGATCCAAATGAATTAAGAAACATGTACAATACCCTAAGTTATTATTTTTTTGTTGCTTTTATTATAAGTAGATAATGAAGTAACTGTTATAAAAAATCAAACTTGTTGTGTTGCGCTTTTGTACGTACTCAGTATTGTGCAAGTTCATAATACGTTCAAAATGTGAAGGAATAGTTAATACTCATTTATATCAGTCAACATATTGTGGTGCCGTTGGATGATTGATACACCGCTTTAGCGGTTCTCCAATATAGGAGGAATATGATATCTGAAACCGGGAACCATACAAGCCTAAACCTCGCTCTCTATATGATGGGAAAACGGATAGAAGGAACAGACCAAAAACAAGGAACCAGACAGGAACCAGGCAGAGCCTCACTTCTATTTTCCAAGCTTCAAGCAAGACAGTTCGCTTTCTCTAAGACTGCAGAGTTGTGTTATAATAAGCTTATTCTAGGAGAACTTGAGTCAGATATTCAGGTAATATTGCATTACACGCCCAACCACAATCGCTACATTGGTGTCAGATGTAAAAACATCTGAAACCGCAAAAAATACCTGAAATTGTCATTAGAATTTCGTGCGAGTTTTCGCGGGGAAATTGTCAAATTTATCGGATTTGAAGTTTGAGTTTCTCGCGATTTATAATTCGTATACAATACATATTTATGTCCCAATACACATAAAACAATTATTGTTTTGCTCCACTGTAGTTATATAAACAGTGAAGTGAAGTTTGTTGCACTTTTTCAATATATATTTGAAACAGTGAAGGGAGACAACTGTGTTGTTTACAATTTGCACAGTATATATAAATCAAGTTGAAATAAATACATTTTAACAGTATTTGTGTGATAGTAGACAGAAATTTCTATAAACTAAATAAAATAAAACCACACACAAGCTTGAACTGTTACATGTATGAAAATTTTTCATTATTGAATATTGGTCAATAAACCGGACAACTGGTATTGACTTTTCAATAATTCATACATGAATATATTTCAATTTACTGAAATTTGGTACAATTCGAGACAATAAACCGGACAACTGGTATTGACTATTAAACAATTTATTAAAAAAAAAAAAAAGGGACAAAAACAAAACAAACAAACACACACAAACCGTCATTTTCATTTGTAATACATTTTCCGGATAAGCTGGATAAATGTATTGATACAATAAAATTTATGATTGGTAAATTATTACGTCAAGCTTTGATCCTTAGAAAATTTCGTAATTCTACCACCATAGTCGTTGATAGTTTGTGATTTTGCTATATTTATAACATTTTTACATATTGATTTTTCTACATATATATTTCAATAAAGAATTTTCATATACAAATTGCATATTATTGTACGTGTACTGATATTACATTTAAAAGTTTGTTTCTTTTGACAAAATAGTTATACATATACATACATTTTTATTTTTTTTTGTATGTGTTAATACCGGATTAACTGGTTTTGATACAATTAATCTTGAATTGTCTGTTTAGTTCTTACATATTATTATTTTTTTTTTTTTTTTTTTTTTTTTTTTTGTGTGTCTTATTCCGGATTAACTGGTTTTGATACATTCATTCTAAAATTGTTCATTAATTTCAAGTATAAGGAAATTAGAATAAAAAGATAAGTTAAATAAATTCAAGAAAATTTGAACTATTCTTATTGGTAATACTAAATAATTTTTATTAGATTTTTGATACTTGGTAATTTTTTCTTTTAGATATTTATATTTCAAGAGGTAAACTATAATTTTTGATATAGAGATTTATTTGTACTATTTATTGTACACTTGTTAATTTTTATTGTGGAACTATTTATCTGTTCATATCTCAATATGGCGATGAAACAAACGGTAAATATTAATACGGCGGATATTGAGGAATTGATGACTTT